TTATCAAGGGTTCATGAGGGAGGAGGGAGGGTGGAAAAATGAGGAGCTGATGCCAGGGGCTTACGTGGAGAGCAAATGTTTTGAGAATGATGAGGGTAACGAATGTACAAATGTGCTCTATACAATTGATGTATGTATGGATTGGGATAAGAGTTGTATGAGCCCCAATAAAATGATTTTAAAAAGAAAAGAAATTAAGTCATCAAGCCATGGTCTTTCCGGTCATCTCGTATGCACGTAAAAGCTGAACAAGACTGAGCAAGACTGGAGATGACCTGTTGCCTTTGGACGATGGCCCGGGGCAGGATTTTGAATGTGCCGTGGGCTGTCAGAAGGATGAAGAGGGCTGCCTTGGAAGATGTGGCGAAGAGAAGGTTCTATGGCTTTGTGGACAAGAGCCAGGCTGTGGAGTCCTAGGTTCTAATCTCAGCTGTGATGTCAGTATCTTTGATAGGGAGACACTACCCCCTGGTGCCTGACCCTGGATGTAACACCATGGTGGCCCTGTGCTGGTCATTCCCAGGAGTGACCGTGAGCTTCCTTGGTTTCAATAATGAGTCAGTTGTCAGCTTTGTTAGGTGCCCTCAACTCAGTGCTGACTCGGAGTGGAACAAACCACCGCCCAGTCCTGCACCGTCCTCACGATTGTTGCCCTTGAGCTCCTTGCTGCAGCCACTGTGTCCATCCAGCTGCACCAGGCGCTCCCCCTTTCTCGCTGCCCCTTGACTTTACTGCTCATGGTGACCTTCTCCGGGCACTGGTCTCTGCTGACAGCATGTCCAGAGTCCCTGAGATGAAGTCTTGCCCTTCTTGTCTCTGAGGAGCACTCTGGCTGTCTTTCCTCCGGGGAAGATTTGTTTGATCATTGACAGCCCCTGGTGCGAGCGGTCTCTTCAGCAGCACCGTGCACGGATCCCTTCCCTAATGTCTTCCTTCTGCAACGTCCAACTGTCACGTGCGTGTCAGGTGACTGACAAGACCATGGCTTGGGTCAGTTGCACCTTCGTCCTCAAAGTCACACCCTGATTACCACTCAGTGTTCACAAAACACACTCAGAAGAGGTCTGCTACAGCAGGTTTACCCAGTGCCCCGCGTCTCTGGCTCTCTTTGGACTGCTCTTCCATGAGCATCGATTGTGGCTCCCAGCAAGACAGAAATCCCTGACAACTTCAATCTTTTCTCCATTGGGCAGGAAGTTACCTATTGGTCCAGGTGTGGGGGTGCTGGTCTTCTTGATCCTCCCTTTCAATCCGTACCGAGGGCTGCAACCCTTCATCTTCGTCAGGAAGTGCTTCAGGCCCTCCTCCCTTGCAGCAGGCAAAGGAAACGGATCGAAGGGCGATTTCTATAACCGCCTCTGGTGCCTGTGCCCAGGTACCTGAAGTTCACGCTGGACCAGTATGTGGAGAACGACTACACCCTCGTCTACTTCCACTACGGGCTCAACAGCCTGAACAAGCCGTCCCTGGGCTGGCTGCAGAGCGCCTACAAGGAGTTTGACCGAAAGTACATGCCCGGGACCCTGCCAGGCGGGTGGGCCACACCGGGTGGGCCCCGATTCCCCCAGGTCTGAGTCCCTCCCCTTGTTTGCCTGGCTTCATTAAGTCGATTCTGTTGAGATGCAAGTGTCTGAGAGGGCACGCTGGAAAGGGGCACCCCCTGAAGGCCCCCGTGTCCCCCTCCACAGGTACAAGAAGAACCTGAAAGCCCTCTACGTGGTGCACCCCACCAACTTCATCAAAGTCCTGTGGCGCATCTTCAAACCTTTCATCAGGTGGGCACTGTCTGACCACCGTCTCTGGGCACAGAGTGCTTCCCTGGGAGTCTGTGGGATGGGCTGGCCCTTGGGTGCCCGAGGGACTTGGCCTGTGTGACAGCATTCACCTACCTTCATGGGGGAGGGTTCTCCGGGGCCCCCCTGACTCCTCATCTGCCCAGCTCTGAGAGACCCCAGTGGGTCCGCCACATGGGCCGGGTGGGCCCATGGGCACTCGGTGTGGGAGACAGGGGACAGGAGGTAGGGCTGAACCTGCCCACCCAGGCCCTGCCCAGAGGGTGTGTCCTGCATAGACAGGGCTGGGCCTCTGAAGCTGACTTCGGCCTGGGGCAGAGCAGTCACACAGATGGTGGGCGGGGCTGCCTCTGTCCTTGTCCCTCAGTGGTGCCCTGTCACATGGAGGCCACCATGCTCCCCACAGCCTTGAAGGAATCACAGGCGTCCCTTTTCCCCCTGGTCAGGCACCTTCAGAACCCCCGGGCAGGGCCTCCCTGTGCCCCTGCTCCGGTCGTGACACACTGCTGGTGA